AAACCCCCACTCCACAAGTCGTATTCCAAGCCCTCACTGCCCATTCTTTCACGCGATCACAACTCCCCACTTCCTTGTCAAATTTTCCTACCAAACAAGAGGAGAGAATAGATATCCTTCCTCCGACGGATTCCCCGTCGATATACAACGACGGACCGCGATGAGGAACCGCCGACTTCACATCTCCCCCAAGCGAAATTCTTGGTAACCTTGCGATATCCAGAAAAGATTTCATTCCAAACAACCAAAACACAGATCGCCTCACAAATCGCCCCTAGTGGGGTGAAATCGCACATAGTGACGTGTACATCTTAACATTAATATCACATCACATTGGATTTTTGAAATATCTATAAAAAAAAAAAAAATCATATACGGATAGGGGAGTATTGAGTATATATGAGTAGGTATGCAACACTATCCAATAAGCTTTTGGATCACCAAGCAAGCATCCAACCAGTTACAAGTCACTATACATCCACTCAAGAGCTTCCCAATATAGATGAAGAGCAAGAGTTGGAGGACAAGTTTCTCTATGCAAATATCCATGTTGATGTGTTCCCTGAGACCCAAGATGATTCAGATGTTGCTGGTGAAGGCAACAGTCATCGTCATCGTAACCCCACACTCACTGATGATCGTGCAAGAAAGGAGTAGAATTAACCAAATGAATGATGCTCTTACTTTCTGGTGTGAGACTTCTAAAGCAACGATTGGATTCATTAGCTAAGGCGAGGAGGAATAACAAAACTGCATAGTATTTTGTATCTAATTGCTTTCATTGCCTTGAAGAAATTTGAGGGATGGATGTTGAAACCTATGTGGAGGCACTGGAAAAATTGAAGGATCCAGACTACAGGAAAATGTTCGTTAAGATTCCTATTGAGAGATAGCTTGCTTGGTTGAACAGGATGTAGATGACATGATGGGATGATGGTTGGTGACTTTTTAGTATGGTATTGTTTGTGACTACATGTGACTTGAAAAACATATTTGGCCTTATGTGATGATGAACTTTTCTTTTTCATACATGTGATTTTATCTTATGTAGCTATGGGAATAATTTATTATGCTTTATGTTATGGAGACTCTAGTGTGGTTAATCTCCGACTTCTTATGCTGTTGATGTTTGAACTTTGATGGTGATTATAAGTTTATTCGATCAATTTATTGGTGGAATATTTTATATTGGTTATTGAAAATTTGTCCAGAAGGTTGGGAAGTTAAGATGGAAAAAACAAATTTAATTGAGACATCAACTTCAAATCCAATAATTCAGATGAAGATTTTGATCAAATTTTAAATGTAATAGCTATTAATTTTTTTTTCATTTAATAAGTAAATGTAATAGCTATTAATATGATGATCGAGTTTGAGAATTCCTTTTTTAAGGTGCCTGTGCGAACCTTTGCCTATGCCTATGTTAACAGCTCATGAATATGTTTCAGAATAGCAAAATGATCATCTCGGTCGATACTAATATGTATTCTGCATGGGTAGAGAAGTGTAACTTTGTCTCATAATGAGACGTGGATGGTTCGAAGACACTCATACAAGTTCAATTGAGGAAGAAATAGCAATTTTTTTTGTTCATTCTAGGACATAATGTTCGTCACAGGCTTGTAGCCAAACATTTTGATTAGTCCACTGAAACAGTTTCTAGACATTTTAAGCATGTGTTAATAGGCAATATGTCACCTGGAAAAAAGACTTATTCATCCACCATCACGTGAGGATGTGCCTCCTTATATACGTCATAAATCTAAATACTATCCGTAGTTTAAGGTATTACTTTCCTTTAATTAAATTATGCCATTTTATTTTATAACCTCTTTTATTGACTTTATTTTAGTTTCATTTAACGTAGAAATGAATTGAGCAATTGATGGCACACATGTAAGTGTTTGGGCACCCGCCTCCAAAAAAACTCCTTATAGAAGAAAGATAATAGGGACACAAAATGTTATGTGCCCTTGCTTATTTGACATGATTTTACTTTCATTAACACGGGTTGGGAAGGTAAGGCCGATGACTCAAGGGTTTCTATTGATGCAATTACAAGAGTTGTTGTTAGTTTCCCTTTACCAAGTGATGATATTACTACAAACTTATGTGACGTTTTAACATTTATTGCTTTCAGGCAGTATCCAGGCTAAAGGTGAATGTGGCCAAGAGTGTGCTTGTCCCGGTCGGGAATGTACAGGACATTTCTTCTTTAGCTGCAGTTCTTAGGTGTAGGGTGAGCTCCTTTCCTATCCCTTATTTGGGATTGCCCCTAGGGGTTTCTTCCAGGTTAGTGGGGAGTTGGGATTCTGTGCTTGATAGGTATGCAAAGAGGTTGGCAAGTTAGAAGAAGCAATACTTGTCCAAGGGGGGTAAAGTAACTCTTAACAAGAGCACTTTATCAAGCCTTCCCACTTATTTTCTTTCTTTGTTCCAAATTCCATGCTCCGATGCTGATAGAATTGAACAAATTCAAAGGAATTTCCTTTGGGGAGGAAGGGGAGATGAATTCAAGTATCATCTTGTTAGATGGGAGCAAGTATACAAGCCTATAAAATTGGGGGGTCTCGGTATTAGACGATTGATTCCTTTTAATCAAGCTCTTCTGGACAAATGGTTGTGGAGATACAGGAAGGAAAGACATCGTCCTTGGTGCAGATTAGATCTTGCAGGTATGGGGAAGATGTTGGCTGATGGACTACACGTCCGGTTTCTATTGCGGGAGGAGTTGGGGCTTGGAAATCCATTCGGAGAGGATGGGATGCCTTTTCCTCTCATATCAGATTCAGAGTGCGTGATGGTAGTTGCGTTCGTTTTTGGGAAGACCTTTGGTGTGGGAACCAGCCTTTATGTCATACATTTCCCAAATTATATAGTATTGCAGTTGATAAACATGCCATACAAGCTAACTGTTATTATCTTGATAATAGTGGGATTACGTGGAATGTTCATTTTTGGCGTTTATTTCAGGATTGGGAGTTGGAAGAGGTGAGCATTTTCTTGGATCAATTGTATCGGCAGGAAGGAATTGGCAGGGGTTATGACATTTTGATTTGGATTCCCTCCTCTCACGGGGGTTTTGCAGTAAGGTCTTTGTTCTTATGTTTGTCTAATTTTGCATCCTATGATTTTTCATGAAAGACTATATGGCGCTCTATGGCTCCTACTAGGGTGGCATTCTTTTTATGGACTGCCGTTTGGGGTAAGATTCTGATGATCGATAATTTAAGGAAAAGGGAAAATTTTCTTGTTAATCGGTGTTGCATATGTAAGCAGGATGGGGAGTCAGTCGATCATCTCCTAATGCATTGCTCTGTAGCGCACGATTGCTGGAATCTTATACTTGGACTATTTGGCATGTGCTGGGTAATGCCATGTTCTAGTAAGGAGTTGATTCATGCTTGGAGAGGTTGTCGTGTGAGTAGGAGTGTTCGTGATTATTGGAGATCTGTATCACATTGTATTTGGTGGTGCATCTGGAAGGAGCGAAATAGTATAATGTTTGAAGGGAATGAGTCATCTACAGCAACACTGAAACATTTTACTATTTGTTCTCTTTTTAATTATGTGAACAGAAGTTCTTGTTCCTCTTCTGTTGATTAATTTCTTTTTTGGATTCTTTGGGGCCTTAGACCCCGGTTTCTCTTATGTTTATGGGGCGCGTTCCCCTATTGAACGCCTTTTTGAATTTATTATTACTTATCAAAAAAAATTTCAAATAATATTTATTTTGCAAGAAAATATTATGTAATTGATTCTAGTTACCCAAGCACAACTAGATTTCTCCCTCCATATCATGGTTAAAGATATCATTTACAAAGATATTAAGTAAGTGTTTGGGCACCGGGCTCCAAACAAACTCCTAGTAGAAGGAAAAGGTAATGGTGACAAAAAAATGTTACTTGCACTTGCTCATTTGACATGATTCTTACTTTCATTTAAAGGTATGGCCGATGACTCAAGGGTTCTTATTGATGTAATTACCAAAGCTATTGTAAATTTCCCTTTACCAAGTGGTGGTATTACTATTACTATTAATTTATGTGACGTTTTAACATTCATAGTAGCATATTATAAACGATAATCTTTAACAAATTTTAAATAATATTTATTTTGCAAGCAAATATTATGTAGTTGATTCTGGTTAGCCATGCACGGCTGGATTTCTCCCTCTATATCATGGTCAAATATATCATTTACAATAATACTGGGGTATGAATCGGCAACCTTATGGTCCAAAGGAATTGTTTAATATCGACATTCATCACTTCGCAATATCATTGAACTTTGCTTTGGAGTTCTAAAAGCTAATTTTTTCCATTTTAAAGCTTATGCCTCCTTATAGGTTAACTAGACAACGACTCAAAATAAATGCTTGTTGCATGATTCACAAGCTCATTCTTCAAAATGCACAAGGTGATCGCTTTTTTTATGGAGTATGAAGAAGAAAAAGTTGATATTGTTGGTGCGGGAAATGCTAGCAATAGTCAAGGGGGAGGACCGAATGCAGTTAACTTATTGATGCTAGTGTGGCAGAAAAGGCTGCTTATGGAAACCAAATTGCAGGATCAATGTGGGTATCAAACGTAGCCAATGTTGGATGAAACTAAATTTATGTACCCCAATGGTTTGTGAGTTCTTGAATTTTGTGGATACTCAGGGGTTCATGGCATGGCATGTCCAGATGCACTATGTAATAATACATGCATGTGAAAGAAATTAAGTAATCATTGATAAATTCGTTCCATGATTATATGTGAATAATTACAGTACAGTAATCACTGCAACGGGTAAGCCAGTGGGTCCATAATTCACTTCCAAATTAAACAAAAAAAAATCCAATGAATCATAAAATAAAACGAAATAACCCAGATCGTAAGGAAAATTAAACCAAATTTGCAATCAAAAACTACAATGAGTTTAACGAAGATCCATAAAATATATTCGATTGGGCAAACCCTGGGCTCTCTTAATAGAGAGAGAAAATAAATACTTACTATTCTGTATTCATGAGAGAGTGCGCTTTCTAAGCGGACTGTGAAGGACGACGGAGAAATATCCTTCCGGCGGTCGGAAATCAGCTGAAAGTGGAATCGTCACCGGAAACGTTCAGGAAAGAGCACCGGGACGAAAAGGGAATTTTTCGAATGGTATTTATAGGATGAGAATCAGTGTACAGTACATAAGAATTTATGTTCAACAATGTACTGTCATAAATTTAACCAAAAAAAATGTACTGTCATAAATAATATAATATTTTAATTTCGTAATTATAAAATAAAAAATAAAGGAATATAATTTTTAAATCAATTTTTCAAACAGCAAACTCATACTACTACAGTATTTTTCTATTGCATCAAATAATAAGAATCCTTTGACTACTACACACAGCTACTTGAATAATACGTATAAAAAATATTATTTAAAGATAAATACCTGAAGTTTGGAAAGTTTAATGAGTATATTTGTTTGTGATATGTGCAATAAAACTTTACCATTAAATTTAGGGAATTGGATCCTCGAAGTTATTGCAAGTTGAATTTTCGTAATGATATGTGTCATTTAAAACATATCCATAGCTTATGTTAAATCACTTACAAAATTTGCGAAGACGTAAACATATCTCTTCTATAAGATCTCTCGTCTTTTTCCTAAAAAAATATTGCTCCCTCTCTCTCTCTTTTTTGAAATAATAGTCTCTTTTCTGAAATAATAGTATTGTCTTGGATGAAAAAAGTGATTTGATTAAAAAAACTTAGAGTGTGTTTAGTAATTCAAAACATTTTTTGTTTTATGTTGTCAATCCTTAAAAGGAGAAACAAACACAAAAATCATGTTTGGTAATTTGTTTTTGTTTTCTTTTAATAAAAAAACATTTCTCATTTTTATGAAAGAAAGAGAAAACATCAAAATGATGTTTCCTGTTTTTTCACTGTAGCTGAAAAAATGTTTTCACTATTGTTTCATTCGTTTTTTACGCAATTGACATTACTCTTCCATTAATATACAACCACTGACATTACTCTTCTATTAATACATAACCACTGACATTACTTCATTAGTACTTTTATATTATATATATATACATTATACAACTGTACGCCCTCTATTTATTTTTTTATATATACATTATACAACTGTACGCTTATCTTTCCCTGTATATATATATATTTTTTTCCTTTTTAGATTATATCTTTTATTGTGATTGAAAGTTAGATTTTGATAGATGGATGAAAAAATAAATTAAAAAAATTTCCCAAAAAAAAAAAAATTTTGTAACAAATGTTTTACTAAACATTGCTTTTTGTTTTTTGTTATTAAAATGGTGGCAACAGCAAAGATTACTAAACGTTATTTTTGCTTTTTGTTTTTACTTCAAAAAATAAAATTATGTTTCAGTTTCTTTGCGACTACAAAAACAGAAAACGAAAACGTTACTAAACGCACCCTTAAGTAGTATGTTTTTCAATTTAATAGTATACAGTGTCTGATTAGATGAATTTTGTAAAATTTAAATTTTGAACATAATTTGCCATAATATCAATAGAAAAAAATAAAATTTTCATTATATAGAAATACTAAATTTTTTATAAGTAATTTACACCGACCTCTCCTATGGTTTGCCAAGCGACACCTTTCCTGTTTCGGAAATTATCCTACACGGACCTCCCTTCTGTTAAGGTCAACGCCAGAAATTACTAACATCATGCACTAAATTAAGTAAAATACCTATAATACCCTTATCCCTACCCTTATACATATATATATATATATATATATATAGATAACTATTGTCGGCTTGTCCCTACCCTTGTTCCCTTGACTGTGATTGACAGGTCGTGCCCACCTTAACCACTGCCGCAGACAGGAAGAAAATTAGGAACGTAAATAGCAACAATCACCGTGGATGAGATCTCTTCTATAGTGGTGGCGATATACTCGTCGAAAGCCAGGGAGTCGCCGGCGGGCATTGGCATCAGATACCTCGCCGCCGATGAGCTCGCAAGCTGAGATTCAGAGAACCAGTGAGACGCGCTTGTAGCCGGAGAGGATATTGGTCAGATTGTTGTGCCGGTGAAGTTGTTGCCGGAGAAGATTTAGATTGGAAAAATCGGAGGGAATCTGACTGGAAAAACGGTTGGCATGAAGATTGAAGGTTGAGGACTCGGAGCTAAATCAATTTTCTGATTGTGTTGGGTGAAGAGCGGATCGAACCGCATCTGGGTTTAGCTTGTTGGGCAGGTTTGTTGAATCTATGAGCTATTCACAATTGTTTTGCTTAAGAATGGTTGAGATTTCACCAATTGTGACCTCATTCAGAGCAAAATCGCAAGAATTGAGAAATAATTCAAATTTATGGCAGATCTTCCATTGTTCAATTTAAGAACAGAAACGAATAAACATACACATTCATATTCATTTGATTTTCTCTAGATTAACACTTCTTTGCTTTCTAATTCAAATCATTTGAAACAAATCAATCAAAAGCTATCAATATTGAACCATAACAAATAAATTAATTCTTTTCTAGCTTTCCTTCGTCAAGTGACAAACATATGAAAAGATCAGTGGATTTCTTTCATGATTTGATTTGTAGTAAGAATTCACCCTCTTGTTGACAATTTCAGAAAGGTACGACATAATCATATATATCAGATGTGTATATATACATACAGGGTATTTCTTTTTTTTTTTTTTTTTTTTTTTTTTTTTTTCATAATTCACATAGGGCATTTCAGTAATTTAGAATAACAATTTAAGGGCACTTTAGTAATTTTGATAGGTCTGTTAGTGTATTTAATGTTCCGTCACAAATAAGGGAGGTCCGTGTAAGATATTTTAAAAAGTAGAGGAGGTTATAAAGGAGATCTGTGTAAATTACTCATTTTTTATTGATAAAAACTAGATGTATTTTTATGCTTCAAATTTAAACTAAAGTATAAATAGTTAAGTTATTTTAAAACTTTTTTTATCTTAAAATAGTGCCGTTTCTTAACTTTTATCAAATTAGCTAAACTGATTTAACATAAGTCATAGATATACACGTGTTATTATATAGAAAATTCAACTTAAGATAATTTAGAGAATTTATAAAATAGCTTTCAAAAAATTAATAAATAAGTTATTTTCGTTAAATTTTAATATTTGTTTTCATTGTAAATATTTTACTATAATCAAACAACAAATACATAGAAAATATTTTATCCTCAAACCAATCAAGTCCAAAAATAAGGAATAACGATACTTGCACTAAACAAATGAAATATTTTTTAGTTAATTATTTATACAAAATACAACTCATTGGATGTTGGATGAAAGAATCATTTTTTTCCTTATTGGTCTTAATATAATTAGATAAGCAAGTAGAGACCGAAGTGTCAACTTTTTTTTTATATTTGACATGTATTAATCAATTAAATATAGTAAGTCCAAACGATCAGAGACATTACTCGAAAACAAAACATGGTTTTTTTGGACACGTGGCACCCTTCGTGTCCTGAAATTTAAAATGACAAGTATGTCAATAATTTAAGTCAACAATTTTTAGGCTCTATTCATCGATGCATGTCTGTGATACCAATACCACGACGTGATTCCATTTACCCAAATAAAATTAGGGTTTCTCGACAATCTAAATCACAAACAAATCTATTCAAAAAACTACAGCAATTGCCAATTCCGTTTCATTCAACGAGATGGAGGGAGCTACGGCGGCTGGCGGTGGCGGACCTGCGCCGTTCCTGCTGAAGACATACGAGATGGTGGATGATTCATCGACTAAAGAAATCGTGTCGTGGAGCTCCAGCAAGAACAGTTTCGTTGTGTGGAACCCTCCGGAGTTCGCTCGGGTTCTTCTTCCCACGTATTTCAAGCACAACAACTTCTCAAGTTTCATCAGACAGCTCAATACCTATGTAAGTCCCCTTTTCAATATGAATAGAGTTGAATTATTATTGGGGTTGTTTTTCAATTGAACTTGATTTTGAGGTTTTCGTGTACATGGAAGATCTATATTGTATAGCTTTGGAAGCTATGATTTTTTGTATATAGCTAAGGGAAAAACATTTTTGATAGCAGAGCTGGTGAAAACTTTTGAAACTGATCTTTTTATTAGTCCTCTAGATAAGGAAACAATTTTTCATTATCATCATTTTTGGGCACAAATCTAAATTGATTCCCGACGTTGTAATTTCCGGTGTTAGTTGTTGTTTATTAACTCTCCAAATGTTTTTTTAGTATGACTCAGTAATATGATACCATTGAAATCCTACAACTTTGAATATCCCCTTGTTTGTATATAGGTACCACTTATAAGTCATTTTCTTAGTTATTATTGAATATATGTTTTTTAACCCAAACATGCTATTATCATCCAAATATTTCTAGGACTCAATAAGGATGCAATTTCATTATCTTCTCGTTTTGTCACCAAGTTCCTTAGATAATTACCCTTTTTGTTTCATTTTGATAGCTGTGAAGAAAGTTGGTTGAACTTCTTCTTCCATAACTAGTGGGAGTTATATATCAATTTTGCATGTGTTTGTCATTTCATTGTTTCTCTACCAACAATCACGTGGAGGACCATGACAAAGTTGAGCTACAAAGATTAACATATATGAAAACTTTGATATATATTTTTTATTTGTTTGTTAAGATAAGAAAATTACAAAAATGAATGTTAAAAGTTTGGCTTTAATAGTGTGTTTTTAAACTGTGGAAGGTTTGTTGGACTCATGTCGTTAAGTAGAGAGAGAGAGAGAGAGATGCATGGTGTTATCAAAGTTGCTCCAAGTGTGAGGCAACCAAACATTTGAGGTGTGGTGTGAGGCCTCCACAATTGATATTCTACCAATTGAGGAAATAGATTGCACCCAAGGTTTTGATTCGTCATGGTACAACTGGTTTAATTCAGACCTGGGGTGAATAGGTCTTATGGATTCCTTTTGTGAACAACTAACTTTTCAAAATTTAAGTAACTCTTGTTCAATTTTCAGTTTATTTAGTTATCCATGTCTCAATCGCAATCACAAACAAATAAATCAATAAAAATAAAGTAAAGCAGCGCAAGACGATTACGTGGAAAAATAGAAAGGATAAAACCATGGGACCCTCGGTCTTGGTATGCACGATCCACTATAGAGAAAGATGCTACAATACTATGTACCAGGCTCTAAACTTTATAATCACCTAGCTACCTCTTATTAAAAGTCATGCCATATGTACCTCCTTGGACTCTTCTGGTGCATGTCAACAAACTTGCTCACCCACTCCCTATGGTTGTTCAATTCCTTGATCAACAAAATCACTTGGTTGTGACAGTTGCTTGATAAATCTCTGACTTGCTCATTGCTTTGAATCTCTTTATCGCATAAATATAGTATTCTACTAGAACCTTATATTGATTTTCAAAAAAATTCTCTAAAATAATATACATTCTCACTCTTAATGAAAATTATATCCTAAACCAACTACTACACAATTTTTATAGCCAATATAGGAGTCTCATGTGAAATAGAAATTCAATTAAAATTCTAATTTTTGTAACTTTCTAAAACAATTCTGGTCCTATTGAGCGCTCAAAGTCAAGTTTGAGCGATCGAACTCCTTCTAGTAACCTTCAACCGAAGTGTCCAACAAGTTTGATTTATAAACGCACTGTGACGACCTCTGTGGGTGAGTGATGTGGGTGGGTGCGAGATACTGGATGAGCTACCAAACTGGCAGGCTACAAGGTGTCATGATCCCACATCGCTTGGGGAAGGTGAAGTGCTATATGTAACGTTCAACATCCTTCTATGACATAACACATTTTAAAGCCGTGATGGCCACAAACCCATTAGAACTCTAAAGTTAAGGGTGCTTACTCTGGAGTAGTACCAGGATGGGTGACTTCCTCATAAGTCTCTGGTTCGGGGGAGCCAAAAGCAGACAATATTGTGTTTGGGTAGGGTGAGGATTGTTACAAATGGTATTGGAGCCGGAGTCCAGCCGGAAGTGTGGCCAACAAGAACATAGGGCTCCCACGAGGGGTGATTGTGACAACTTCTGTGTGCGAGTGTGAGACACTGGATGAGTTACCACACTAGCAGGCTACAGGGTGTCATGATCCCACATCACCTGGGGAAGGTGAAGTGCTATATGTAAGGTTCATCATCCTTCTATATCACAACGCGTTTTAAAGTCTTGATTATCGTGAACCCATTGGAACTCCAAAGTTAAGCGTGCTTTCTTTGGAGTAGTACCAGGATGGGTGACCTACTGGGAAGTCTCTGATGTAGGGAAACCAAAATCGGACAATATCATGTGTGGGTAGGGTGAGGGTGGTTACATCCACATTTGAAGCTCACCAGGAATTTGTCCAAGTGATGTTTTGAGTGATCAACCTATCACTTGAAGCTCATGTTTTCCAACAATTTTCCTTTTCAAAATGTCCGATCGATCCATCAAATTTTTGATCTATGAGCTTGATTTTTGTAGTACTTTAAGAACTTCTAAATTTGGACCTTCTAATGATCAATCTAGGACCTAGGTCATGGGAAGTTCAATGATCTAATGAATTTTTCCAAACCTAGATTCCTATTTCCGCTATGGTCTTATATTACTTCAACTTAGATATGTAATTGCATTCGACGAAAATATTGGCATGTTCTTCGTTGTTCTTCATCGTCTCTTTTGGTTATAAATGAAGTGACTCAAGACATTTTGTTTAACTTACAACCCTAGTTTTGCATAGAGATTTAAAGCACATGACTCAACAACCTAACAAGATGCCCCTGGATTGGAGTTTCATTTTAACTAAGGTAATGACTTTCAGAAGGTGAGCACTTCTAATTCCCTGACAAGGGTTCAATAAAACTGGAAACGCTCTTACATGAGATATTTGAGATGCGTTCTGGTTTGGTTTCAAGTTATTTTTGGTTTGAAGGTGAATGTAGGAAAGAATATTATGGTCCCGGTTGACGAGGGTCTTGATGTTTACACTTTAGTAGTTAGCTGCCATTCTTGGTTGTCACATGGGTTCTTTGCCTATTTCTTATCTTGGGTTACCTCTTGGGGTGTCGGCAAGGATGCTGGGAAGTTTTTTTTTTTAATAAGTAAAATGTATTAAAAGGCGTTCAAAAGGGGAACGCGTCCCAAGCTATACAAAAAACTGAAACTATGATCTCAAGGAGCCCAACAAGTTCACAATATCCTCAATGGAGGAAAAATCTCTCCCCCAACCCCAACAAAAAAGAGTACAAATAATAGAGAATTTCAACACCCCAATGGAGGACTCCTTCCCATCAAAAGATCTTCTATTCCGTTCTTTCCAAATGCTCCACCAAACACAAAAATGGGTTACCCTCTAGAAGACACTCGCTTGAGCCCCCACCCATTGGCCCCTCCAAATATCCAGCAATTCCCGAGATGTCCGAGGCATAACCAAATGAATACCAAACAAATCAAAAATGAGACTCCAACAATCATGAGCCACAGGACAATGCAGCAACAGGTGATCCACTGACTCCCCATTCAACTTACAAAGACAATACCGATTAACAATAATATGTCTTCGCTTCCTCAAGTTATCCAAAGTCAAAATCTTGCTCCAAGCTACAGTCCACACGAGGCGCCTTAGACAACCACACCGTCTTCCACGGGAAGGAAGCGCCATGAAAACCAGAAAGGTATACAAAAAAAGACCGGACCTGGAACATCCCCTGAGAAGAGTGCACCCAAAACAGGGAGTTAACACCAGTGACCTCCACCTCCTGTCTGTATAAAAGAGCCAACAAGCCAATGACATCATCCAACTCCCAATCCTGAAAAGATCGCCGGAATCGCACATCCCAAGATAACTTCCCGCTATCAAGGCGATAGCAGTTAGCAACCATAGCATATTTGTCAACAGCAATCCTGAACAGCCTTGGAAACAAAAGAGCCAGAGGCCTATCCGTGCACCAGGGATCCTCCCAAAACCGGACAAACCTTCCATCCCGAACTTTGAATCTAACATGTTTGGAAAACTCGTCCCATCCTTTTCCAATGGCCCTCCACACCCCTTCTCCACTAGCAGACCTGACTGGCCTAGCTGACCACCCCCCTCTCTCGTCCCCAAAGCGACAGGAAATAACCCTTCTCCATAATCTATGCCTTTCACTGCCGAATCTCTAAAGCCACTTATCGAGGAAAGCACTGCTAAAGGGGGCCAATCTCCTAATCCCAAGCCCGCCCAACTGAAAAGGCCTGCAAACCTGCTCCCATCTGACAAGATGATACTTAAACTCCTCTCCACGACCTCCCCAAAGGAAGTTTTGTTATAACATCTCTAGACGGCCAACAACCGAGGTTGGAACCCGAAAGAGCGAAAGAAAATACGTTGGAAGGCTTGACAAGACGCTTTTCACTAACGTAACTTTACCATCCTTGGAGAGATATTGCTTTTTCCAACCAGCTAATCTTTTTTCGACCCTCTCAATCACCGGGTCCCAACTTCCCACCCTTTTGGCCGAGTCCCCCAGCGGCAAACCCAAATACGAGATAGGGAAACGTTGTGTCTCACACCCTAAAGCAGCGGCCAGAGTGTCCACCTCCTGAACCTCCCCCACAGGGACAAGCACACTCTTGCCTACGTTGACTTTCAAACCAGAGACAGCCTGAAAGCAAACTAAGACACATCTTAGATACCTCAACTGGGACACCTATGCCTTACAAAAAACAACAGTGTCATCCGCAAAGAGCAAGTGAGAAATCTCCATTTGCTGAACGAAGTCGGGACCGATCTTGAAACCCATGATAAAACCCAAATCTACCGCCCTTCTCATCAACCTACTAAGAGCCTCCATAACAATAATAAAAAGGAACGGGGAGAGAGGGACCCCCTGCCTCAAACCGCGAGAGCTACCAAAAAACCCCGCAGGGGACCCATTCACCA